TTGTAACTACTCTTTTAGTTCATCTGCACGCTATAAAATCACCCCATTTTAGTTGTTGAAGCATGTATTTTCAATTGAATGACTCATAGGTTGATCTAGTTAATTGTCCATCTGATGAATGAGTTTTACTTGATGGATATGGCTAGTTTATTTTATTTTCATTATCGTGAGTTTATATCCCTTGAACACTTTCCTTTTCATTGTATCGATTACCCCATTTTAGTTGTTGAAGCATGTATTTTCAATTGAATGACTCATAGGTTGATCTAGTTAATTGTCCATCTGATGAATGAGTTTTACTTGATGGATATGGCTAGTTTATTTTATTTTCATTATCGTGAGTTTATATCCCTTGAACACTTTCCTTTTCATTGTATCGATTAGAAGTTGTTTCTTGCTCCAAAAAAAAAAAAATAATAATAATAATAAAAAAAAAAAATAAATAAAAAAAAAGGGAAAATTGCTTGTTGGACATGGTTGGATATTACAAAATGTTGTTCGCATTATGTCATTCTCTTTGTATCAGAATTACTATCTTCCAGGCCTTGAGATTTTTAATGCTCCCACCAAGTTTCAAAGGAATGGAATAACCATGATCAAACTGGTCTTTTGAACTTAGAATATTTTTTTGGGGGTTCTTCAACTTTTGTCTATATGATGTCTATCAAGATGCTCTCTTACCCTACTCTCTCCTCCAACCCCACTCCCAATGGCTCCAAAACCTTGCTCCCGTAGCGGTCTATAAACCCACCATTACAACATCTTGGAGTTGCTTTAAAAGAACAATTTCCATTGATCTTGAAACTCTCATCATTGCTTTTGATGAACATTACAAAGGAAGGGTGCCAAGATAAAAGGAGACTAGTCGATTCTCTTCCCTTAATGTCTGTCACGTACAATGTTTTCAAGGCAACCCTAGGCCCATGGCAAGAGGTGAGGTGATTGGGAGTTTTTGTGCCTTAAGGCAGCTAAGGTGAGCGCCTTCAACCAGGCCAGGCATTTTCCCTATGAGGACTTTGGTCCCATGGTTACTTTAGTATGAACCTATTTTTCTCTTATTCCAGAATCAAAGATAATGAAGACGAAGAAAAACAAGAGGAAAGTCGAAGAACTTGTCTGCGTGTTAGCTTCAGCCGTTTCATATGTACCCCCCCTTTTAACATTTCCATGAAGTACTAGTGTAGAGCTAGTTTGTGTAGTACTCACATGCATGCTTGGTAGTAAAACTCAAACTGCAAGACAACATTACTAATTCTAATTCTTAGTGGTTACTGCTGTGTTTATTTAAAATAGTTTTTGTTAATTTCTTTCAATAAATGTATTATGTAATCTTTTATTTAACTAGTATTTTTTTACCACATATTTAAATGTTTATATCTTATATATTGTTCCAATACTTCATTTATATGCATTCTTATTTAAGTTGGTTAGTAAATGGTTTTACCAATACATTATACATATAATCTTTTTTTTTCTTTCTTTAAATCATTTTATGAAGTGCGTCTCGGTTCACTCCAATGATGCCGTTTTGTTGCCTCTTACTTCGACACGATTAAAAAACTTGTCACCATAAGTGATGGACCTTGCGCTTTGAAGACACTGTTCATTGTAGAACTTTCTTCTCTATCTCAATTCCTCCTTCAAAACCTTGTTTGATAAACCTTGCCCAACCTGGTACAAGTTCATCAAGAAGCAAAGAGTAAGAAGACTAGATCATTTGGGCAAAAAATTTGGTCTAGCTTTCATGAACAGCTAGCTCTTCCCCTCCTTGATAGATTTTTATATCACCCTTATTGGATAGTGTCACATCGGATCATTTTTCTATCACCTTGAATTGGGGAGATATTAGATGGGCTTCACCTTTCTATTTCAACAATGCGTCGCTCTTTTAGAAACCTTTCCCTACTCTGTTGGAGTATTGATGGAATCAACATGCCATATGTGGATGGGTTAGGATACGAGCTCATATTCAATTTTAAAGACTTCAAACAAGATGTAAAGGAGTGGACCAAATCTTCCCTAAGAAATGCTAAAGAAAATAGAAAGCTATTGATGCCTTAGAAAATTTGAGGGCCGGATTCAATTGACTGAATATAAGAGAGAAGCTTCTAGAATTGGCAGCTTTTAGAACTGATTCCAGTGGGAGCAAAAATTCAAGATCCAATGGTTGAAGGAAGGAGGTGAGGACACAAGTTCTTCTATTGTGTTAGTCTGTTTCTCAAATCCTTTTGAATGATGAGCACAGTCTCTTTAGCTGTGGAGAACTTGAGGCGGAGTTCATAGATAGCTCTGTCCTTGGAAGTCACATTCACCTAGAAAGCGATTTACAATGCTGTTCACTCATTTGGAAACAAGAAAACACCTGAGCTTTATGGTTACTCAACTGATTTGCTAGCATGCTCGCTGCTGGGACACCCATTCAAACAAGAGACGATGCTGCTGCTTCTACATCACCAAACCTTTTTTGAATACACTGGAGAGGGAAAAAAATTAACTATTCGAGTAACAAACCATATCCTCCGAAAACTATACAGATCTAGTCCTCTTTAATGCTTGTTAATGGTTTGTTCATAGCATTTTTGTAAGTATAGTATATCCATTTTGATTGATCAGTGGAGAAGATTTTCTTATCCAGCTTTGGTGGTTTGGAGCAACCTTTCCGTCCTGTTGCAAAATTTAATTTGAAGATGAATTTATGGTTTCTTCTTCTTAAAAAAAAAACTCAGATATTTTTGTGTTCATGGGTTGAAAATTATGACCTACTCCTTATCGAGGGAATTATATTTTCAACGAATGTTTTTTCACTTAGCATAGGCAGTTGAAGCTAAGTGAACCTATCGATATCGAACAAATATAAACTGCACCAGTCTGTATGTACCATTGGCATTAAACTTGAATATTTTTTGTTTCTCTGCTTCTTACTTTTTTATTTTTGCAATTATATGCTTAATGCTGTATTGTTTGTCGGGAAATAATGTACAAAATATGTTTTTTTTTCTTCTAACCATACTTATTTGTCGGTATGTGCAGATGAGGCATTTCATAGTGTGAATAGTGAGCTAAGGGAGCTTCCTGCCGTTGAGCTATCTACACTTCCGCTAATACTTAAGGTGTTGACAGATGTTTCTATTGTCTTTCTTTCTCTCCCACTTCTCTTCTTTTATTGGAGTGCATGCTTCGCTGTGGAGGGTCAGATAGTGACAGAGTTGAAGTTAAACATTAGGGTTCGGATCGCTAAATGACTATTTGATGGTTAAATTGTTTTCCTTTTCCTGTTTCTGAAGGATACGTGTTTCTAGTGGTGTTGTCTCTGGGTGGTGGTGGTTATTGTTGTTTTTAAAAATTCTATTAATATTTTAAAATTTAGTAATGATATTAATAATAATTTATTATTTTCATTCATATTTTTGAAATCTTATCTAAGTTTTAAAAAATAGAAACATATAGACTAGAAGGTCCTGAACAACCAATTATTTAAATACAGAAAATATGTACTATTTATTTATCCTTAGTGATTTATGTATAATACTTGATAGCCTTGGTTACATTTCTCTCTATATTTTTGCTATACAGTATTGGAGCATAGCTTTATACTCCCTAAAGTGGCATATTATGAACGATTTTTGACTTGTTTGTTTAGTTCTGTCTATTCTGTTGTCAGAAGTTATAATGTTCATTCCAAATCCAAACCTTGCTGTATTGGATGCATCTATCTTTTTGTTTTTTGTTCCTTTCATTTTTTATGTTCCCATTAATTGTATGCTACATGTGTATATGCATATAAATGTATTCCGTACGCCCCATTGGGATTTTAAATATATATTATTTTGAACCAGAACAAACGCTCTCATTGGGATTCCCGAGTATTGTAATAAAAAAGAACCATATAGTTGTATTGACATTTTATAGTTCAATACTAATCTGTACAATCCTTTAGTTTAACTTATCAATATGTGTTTTGTAGACTGTGGTTGAGAGTGGAATTGCAGATCAAATGAGGTTGACGGAACTTTTATTGAATGATGTAAGAGCTTGAACTTTATGGATTTGGTACTTTTTGCAGTTAGTTCATGCCAATTTTGAAGAGCAGCATATTGTTAGTAATCTAGCTACCTGGTTTTAAGTGTGGTGTTCGGTAATTCTGAAAGATCTTTTTAGTTTCTCTATAATTCTTAATGGATTGGGTGGAAGTCTGTAGTTTTGGTTTCCTTCTCTCTGGAGTTCTTGCTTTTAAAATGTTTTGCAACTATTCTCCTATTTGTTCTTCCGGTTACAGAGCTTTTGCTTCTAAATGAAATTCTGGCGATGTTTATCATAAACATTTTTACATACCTGCAACTGTTGTTGAGACCTAGTCTTAGTCATTGTTCACAACCTTTTTATGTCAACGAGTCGCATTTCTTGGATGCCTATTATTTATTTATTTATGATAGGCTTGTGACTGTTAACTATCTGGGGTTTTGATCCTTCTATGGGTTTATAGTTCTGGAAATGAAACCTTTGACCCTTACTGTCAATAATTTTTTTCCTGTGATGTCACCTTCCGCTGAGATTCTTGCTTAAGGAATCAATACATGATGTGTGTAAATAGAATTTCTTATACTTGTTGGCTCTTTTGTTTGGTCTATGATTTTTTTCCTGGGTTTCAAGTTACTAGATTAGTTTCTAATAGTATTATGAAATTTGTCTAATTGAAACTTATTGTCATAATGCAGCAGGATTTTTTCAGAAAGCTGACAAACCTTTTCCGAGTATGTGAAGATTTGGAAAATATTGATGGTCTTCACATGATATTTAAAATATTTAGAGGAATTGGTTAGTATGAGTTTTACTTCACTGTGTTATCATGGGCTCATGATGCAGGAACTGATAAAAGTTATTTTGTTTTCTTCCAACCTCTCAGTTTTGCTCAACAGTCAGCAAATCTTTGAGAAAATATTCAGTGATGAGCTGATCATGGATATTATTGGTTCACTTGAGTGTAAGTTTTTCTATTGGTTAAACATAATCTTGAATGAATGCACCGTTCAAGTTATTCTACTGTAGTCTACAATGTATTTGGATGGTGCTGTTACTGTCACGGTTTTGGATGCTGCTTTAAAATTAACTACCATTCTGTATTCAATGGTTTTGTATGCTTCCTGATCTACCTGCCATTTCCTTTTTTTTATTTTGTTATGTCTCATCTTAAAAGGCCTCTAGAAGCATACTTCCATAAAATCCTGACCTTTCCTTTCATATTCGAGCCTCTTAGGGATTCAAACAGCCACCAATCGACATGCCTATGACGGCAAATTTTGTGATAAAAAAAGGCTAAGCAATCTTCTCATCATTGTCTAGCAAGGGAGCAATGTAAGAAGATGTGATCCAGGGATTCATCATTTCCTTTGAATTGTTTCTTGTGCATTTAAGCTTCTATGAGCCATAGACCATGAGAAAAATTTCAACTTTCTTGAATTTTTGAAATCCCAAATTTACTTTGTCAACGTGCTTTTAAATAGTTGTCTTGAGGTTGCCAAATTAAAAACTAGGGACTTGGTGGAAAAAGCTCCCAAAGAGTTCAAGGACCAGCTAATATTATCCTCTCGTTCACCCAAATGAAAGCCTTCCAGCTTCTCTTCGAGTTCAATCCAGGCCTGGAGTTCTATATCAAATATCCCTCTTCTGATCCCCAGATCCCAGGTCTCCTGAATTCCATCCCTACATTTGGCCAATGTAGCTTCCTCTTTTAGGGAGAGATTAGAAATATCCGGGAAGGCAGCTTGAAGAGAGGATTTCTCAGCCATATGTCTTTCCGAAAACCAATCCTTGGCACATTTCGAGCTTTGAATCTTGTGAATCTCTCGTCAGGGGACTGGGGAGCAAATTTGGCAATGTGAAACGAAGGTCTGTTCTTGGAGCGACTTTTAGGTTGTGAAGCCGGCAACCGAGAGGTTCTTCCCCATAAATGCTAGCCTTCACCTGTTTCAGTGGAGAGCCTTCAGCACCACTTAATAAGAATACTAGCTGAATTTCTATACTTAAGTGAGCCAATACCCAATCCTCCTTGACAGAGGGGGAGGGCACTGATTTTCCACTCACAAGATGACTTCTAACTTTAAAATCACCCCCATTCCAAAAGAAATCTCTAATAAACTTTTCCATGCTATTAATGCCACCCACAAATGTTTTAAGAAGGGAAAAGAAGTAAAGAAGCAAACCATTGAGAACCAAATTTATTAGAGATAAACGCTTCCCTTTCAAAAGCATAGAGTTCTCCCCCTTAGCAAATTTACCCTTGAAGTTTCCAAAAAGAGAGAGAACGGTGCTTACCTCCAAGGGGGAATCCAGGTAATTTATAGAGAGAGACTCAGCTTTATGACCTAATCCATTTGTCTACGCAGCCATCTCCTGGTCATCAATACTAATCTCAATCAGTGAGGTTCTGGAGACATTTAGGCTAAAGACCCAAATAACAGAGGAAAAGGGACCTCACTCTCCACCAATTCTTCCAGGATATTCTTCCCCCAGACAAAAAAAATAATTGTCATCAACATATTGCGAAGGATAAATAACCACATTCTAACTCCCCACTGTCTAGCCTCTCAAGATTCTTCTCTTCGAGCAAATGTGGATCAATGGACTGAAAGCATCACCCTTCAAAGTGAAAAGGAGGTATCTCCATGTCTCAATCCCTTTCTAGCTAAGATTTTACCATGAGGTTTTCTGTTTATAATGATTGAATAACTAACTGGGGGCAGACAGCCCCAATTCCAGCTTCTGCATCTACTGCCAACGCCTTTTTTTAGCTAAAATAACATTGAGGAAGAACCAATCAACCTTATTGTAGGCTTTTCAACAATCGAGTTTCAGCAAATACTCCTTTTTCTTAGCTTTACAGTCGCCCACCAACTCCAAAGCTATAAGAATCGCGTTGAGCATTTGCTTCCCTTCCACAAATGTGACTTGAGTATTCACAATGATGGTCAAGGCTTTATTCATTTTTATAACACTGCAGCTACTCAACCATTTATATCTTATTTCTCTTTGGTTCTATTCATGCCAAACCACCTTGAGTACAGGAAGAGGCTCACACCACAACCTCCATCGAGATTAACTCCTTCTAACGTAAAGCTCTCATCAGTATGTCAATCTTGAAAGTGCCCTTAATAGCTCGAAGGTTAGGTGACCTCATTTCGAGCAAATATCTGTCCTCCATTTGGCCGATCTTGTATTTTTTCTCTTTCTGCAATTGGTTCCGTCACAGAGAGAGAGGCTTGGGATGCTTCCTGAATAACATTAATCCCAAGTAGTTCATAGGAAGAAAATCAACCTTGCGTGCTACAATCTCACAATTGATTTTTTTCTTTGTTGGTGTTGTTACCAGTCGGCATAGAGGTGGAGAGCCTAATCTTTAATCTTGAAGCCACCTCACAGATTTTTTCCAAATTCAGAAGATTGGTATGTTTTTTCTTCATCCACCACTGAAAAAGCGGGCTTTCACCTACAAATAGGAATGTTGAAGTCCGCCTCTTTAGCACACAACCCTAAACTTTTATTCCAATCTCTTTTCCTCAGTTCAAAGAAGACGCTTATACTTTCCTTCAAACCCAACTCCTCTCCCTCTTAGCTTCACTAAGATTTCCATCTTCTTGAGATTTAGTGTACAGAAGAATCTTAAATTTTTTTCATTATGATCCTTCCTTCCTTTCAACTCTCCCAGCCTGTCGTAGAGGCTGGGAGATTTTGAAGGATGTTGTAACCACATTCTCGAACTTAAAACAAGGAACCACTTAACTATCCCATAGCAGAGGATGCTAAGGCAAACAGTTGGCATTAATTCCATGGCTTAAACACCATAATTGCCTAACTTGTCTAACAACCCTTTATGAAATTGGAGTATCAGTATGCAGTTTTCATTAATTTTGCTTGTCCAATCAGAGATCACTGAAAACATTATGGACGATTCTGTATATTAGCCTTTTTTATATCTGTATTAGCCATGGTTTTAGTTATTGATCTGTTGCTTTTGTGTGCAATTTGGGAAATTTGGTTCTCTAGTTTGAGGCTGCTTGCCCACAAAATATTGCTTTAATTGCCATGTATGGTAATTTGCAGACTTCCCTGTGTATACTTTGTTGCTGTATCAAACAGTGAAGTCCATGCAATTTTTGAAGGAGAAATAATTGATCTTTGTTATTACATATTTTATAGGTTCTTTGTTATTTACTAATATCTGATTTTTCTGATGTGTAATACAGACGATCCTGAAGTTCCACATCCCCAGAAATTTCGTAATTTTTTAAAAGAGCATGTTGTATTTAAGGAGGTGAATCTTTGATACCTGCATATTATCTTTCTTATGATGGGGAACATTGGGAGGAGGGGTGCATGGAACCATTTTGCTTGAATATTTGAATTTAGTTTCTTGGACTTACCTTCATCTATCTGCAATCTAATCTTGTAGGCTATTCCCATTAAGAACCCCCTTGTTCTGTCAAAAATACATCAGACATATAGAGTTGGCTATTTAAAGGTACGTAATTGAGTGCTGAACTTTATCCCTGCCTGCCTCTTTTGTCAATGAATCATTACTCATATATTTCAGGACGTTGTTTTGGCACGAATGATGGATGACTCCATGGTTGCTAGTTTGAATTCGATTATTCATGCCAACAATGCAACGGTAAGATTTAGAATGCTGACTGAACTTATTAGACTTTTATACTGTCGTTCTTTGAAAGTGGTTTTCTCTTGCAGGTTGTTACTTCATTGAAGGACGACAGTACCTTTATTCAGGAATTGTTTGCTAGGTTGAGATCCCCCTCCACATCTGATGATTCCAAAAAAGACTTGGTGAGTATTGGTTATATATACATATACGTATATATGAATGTCTATCGTTCTGTGATTGCATGTCCCCATTTTGCATTGATGTTTCAATGGACATTCTGGCATGCAGTTGAAATATGTTATTCAGAATTTTTGTATTGAATTTGGTTTTTGTTTCCTTCCTCTAAAGAATGTTTTTGGTATTTCATTCCTGCATCAGGTTTATTTTCTGCATGAGTTTTGTTGCTTAAGCAAAAGCCTCCAAATGGTACACCAGCTTCGGTTGTTCAGGTAAATAACTATTAATTTTAACCTTACAAAGTTATACGTTACCTGCTGGTTTCATTTGAATAGACTTAAGTAGAGATGTATAGATGGATGAAACCTGCTTTGGCCCAAATGGGCCCGTCACAGCCATTCCCCATCCATTTGATTCCATTTCGATCATGATTGATTTTAAAATTCCAGTCTTGGTAGTTTTTATTATTATTGTCTTAGAATTCCAATTTCTACAGGGACCTAATGAATGAAGGTATCTTTGACATCATTACTGATGTATTACAGAGTCAAGATAAGAAGTTTGTCTTAACTGGGTGAGTACAACGACATAATTTAACCTTCCTGTTTGTCTGCATTTAATTCTTAATCTGCAATAGGTTTTCTCGTTCTCCTAGTAAAATATTGATTTGTGATTGCAGGACAGATATCCTCATTCTTTTCTTGAATCAGGATCCAAATCTTTTGCGTACTCATGTTGTTCGACAGGAAGGATTTCCACTCTTTGGACTACTGGTATGCACGATCAAGTCTCTCTCTCTCTCTCCCTCTCCCTCTCTCACTTTAGTGTGTGAACAAAATCTCAAAGAACCCAAAATATGAGAGCAATCTTAATCACAAATTTAGTTCCTGACTAGCCAAAGAAGAAAAGGGTAAGATTAGTTGTCAAAGATATTTATCTAGAGTACCATTCCTTGTTTTAGCTCTGAAAAATAAGATTCTGTACCAAGAACTTTATTTTCGTGTCTTTTCTGCTCTTGAAGTTCTTAATCAATTGGTTATCAAGGATAAGAGTTTTCTGCTTCATTGTAAATCTTGATTTCGTCAACATAATCTTTTAGTCAAGTTTACACTATCCAAAGATTGTGTGAGTAAGCAAGGATGGCGATATCTCCATTGATCAAAGAGTTATTGTTGTCAGGAAGCACTCTTTTCTTCCTTTTTTTTTTTGATAAGAAACGATGGTTATGTTAGAAAAGCCAAAAAATGTCATAAACATCCTAGGGGCGGATAGAGAAAACCCTTCCCAACAATCTAAACAAGGAAGGCCTTTTGATCGTTTATGATTAGAAGACTAATTGGAAAAGAATTTAGGATAGTTTGAAACAGTAGGTTCCACAGTATTAAAAAAAGAATCAAAAGTTAAATACTTATCGTAAAAACACCATTTGGTTTCTCTCTCCAAATGTGCCCGAGAAGAGCTCTAGCTGCACAACACCAAATGGCCACTCTGAGATTCCATCCACCTAAAGCTACAGTCATCTTCAAAAGCATTCTTAAAATCCGATGTTCTAATAAGAAGCTAATCTGGTCGAACTGAAGGCAAGTTATGAATGAGAAGGTTTCTTTTTCTTCTTCTTCTTCTTCTTCGTCTTTTTTTTAAGTTGTTCTCAGTCTTCTAGAAGGAAAACAGGTGAAGAGACTCAATTATGTTTTGATATGCATAACAAACTTCGACTTCTATGGTATTACTATAATCTCCAGGAAAGAGTAACGATAATCGTCTTTGTGGAATTGTGATTGTGGGTAATAGGAAGTGCATCATGCATGCTTATGGTAGAATTGTTGTTCTTCGAGCCATTTGTAATTGGCTTCTTTGAGTCCTTCGATGCCCAGTTTCAATTAATTAATGCTTGTCACGTGCTGAAAAAGTTACTGGGACCTCCATTTTTCCTTTTAGATACTATAACAACTTATGTATTGCAGGTTAAAGGTATGGTAACAGATTTTGGGGACAACATGCACTGCCAGTTTCTTGAAATTCTTCGTAATCTATTGGATACTTATGCATTGTCTGGAGTCCAGGTATCTTTTTAACATTTTTTTTCCCAATAATATGCTTTCTAATGTTATTTTAATGCAAGCATAGTTGAGTCTATTTAGAAATTCCTGTGATGTTTGTTGCTGCTTTATGAAATCTTGCCTTTTGAACTTCTTCAGTTTTTTCTTCCTTTTAATATATAACAGATATATTATGCTTGCATTTTGTTTTGCAACACATTTGAGTTTATTTACGCAGGTGTAACATTTTGATTGCTGCTTTCTATTTTCTTATATTTCTGCTGAAATCTTGGAAAAACTTGTCAGTAAAACTTTCATGTAAGATGTGATTGTTTTTTCTTGTCTCTTTTTTCTTTTCTTTTCTTTTCTTTACTCTTCCTTTTCCAATTGCGTCCATTGCTTTCTCTGTTTATTTTGTCATGAAATATGCTACTGTTTTTTATTTGCAGAGAGATACAGTTATTGAGATTTTCTATGAGAAGCATTTGGGCCAATTAATAGATATTATAACAGCATCATGTCCTACAGAAAGTTTTAAATCAGCCAAGAAAATTGAAGGCGCTGTTGAAGGACTGGGAGATAAGAATGGCGTGAAGCCTGAGATTCTGTCAAACATATGCGAATTACTTTGCTTTTGTGTTCTCCAACACCCATATAGAATAAAGTAATCTTTGTGCCCTACTCGTCTACAAGTACTGAAATTGAATTCCCTCTACCATCTATTTATATATACTTTAATGACCACATGGCTTATTTTCTTATTCTTTTATTGCAGGTCTAATTTTCTCCTAAATAATATGATAGACAAAGTGGTGTTATTGACACAACGGAGGGAAAAATATTTGGTTGTTGCTGCAGTTCGATTTGTTCGTACTGTTCTTTCACGCCATGTAAGTGTGAATTTGTAATTATGAAACAAATGATGTTGCCTAAAGATTGACCTTAAAATTGCCAACCATAGAATTTTGTGAATGTATCCCATAACCAATCTAACCCCATGCCACTATAATTCTAGTGACCGTGGAGGAAGCACAGGTAGTCAATGGCCATCAGTGCCAATTTAGATATGGTCTTTCCATAGACGATAGATGAATGAAAAATGTTTATCATATATATTCTATTATGCCGCCTTGCTGGGTGGAAATCCCCCAAATTTTCTAGTCCTTATAAGCATCCCCTTGCATTTCTAGTAATTCTATAGTTCTTTTAGCATTGTTCTTTCCTTTTTTCTTAATCGCTGACCTCTCTTCCAATGAGCGGTTCATTTCTATTTACTGTGGTACTATCTACCTAAATCTTTTACTTCGTTAATTTACAGGATGAGCACCTGATAAATTATTTTGTCAAGAACAGCACTCTCAAGCCTATCATAGATGCTTTTGTTGCTAACGGAAATCGCTATAATCTACTTAATTCTGTTGTTTTAGACCTTCTCGAGTTTATAAGGACGGTAAATACCTTTCCATCATCTCTCTCTCCTTCCTTTCTTTCTTTCTGGAACTCAGGTGTCTTTTGTTTTTGCCTGTATGTCATGCAGGAAAACTTGAAGTTGTTGATTAGATATATAATTGATTCCTTCTGGAATCAGTTGTCCCAATTTGAAAACTTGCCTTCCATTCAAGCTTTAAAAGTTAAATATGAACAGGTAAACTATTGTCCTTCTTGATTGATTCCATCTCTTTAATTTATTTCAAATTCTATTCCCCCCCATCTGATGCGTGTGTAGTTGCAGTGCCTTGAAAATTATGAAATGAAAGGCACTTTGGAGACGTCTGATCCTCGAAAAAGAAATGATGAGCGTGCTCTAGAGAAAGAAGAGGAAGACTATTTCAATGAAGACAGGTATACAATTTTGTTCTCACATGGCAAGTACTTGCTATAAAGTACAGCATTTCCTGTCTGGAATTTTTTCTTGTCATTAACTTAACTCATTTCAGCGATGAAGTTGATACTGCATCTGCTGCTCCCAAACAGAATGTACAGTCGCAACCTGCTTTAAGTAATGGCGGTACTACAAATTACCCACTCGTAAGGTATTTTCATGCTATCCCATTTTGTAAAAAACATATTTAAGTGACACTTCTTTCGTAGGCCCTCTTGCAACAAGCACAAATTAAGGGCTTCTTGAGCACTTTAAGTGGCCTTTTAATAAAGTCACTTAGAAAAATACTTTCATGTGACTTCTCACCCTTCTGAAAGACGTCTCAAAACTCACTTTGAAGTATTCTTAAGACATCTTAAACTTTTGAAAAATACTTTGAACTAGTAAAAAGACCTTTCAACCCTTCAAAAACCATCCCATAAACATCTTAGAGAATCTCACCTCATGGATCTAACAAAGGCTATATTCAAGACTTATTGCACCTTCTATCTTTTCAGTCTTAGGTCAGGTGGTCTAGTTGATTATGATGATGATGAGGATGATGAAGACTACAGACCCCCACAGAGGGATCAACCCGACTCTTCAGATGAAGACAACGAAATGATGGAATCCCTTGGGCAGAAGCGGAAGTTGGCTCCTCAAGAGGAACCTCAGATGATCAAGAAGCAACTACTGAGCAAGAAGTACAAGCCAAAAGATGGTGTATTAGCTTCCTTGTGTAGCACACTGAGTCAGGCCATCTTACCTGGTAAGAAGACAACAAACGCTACTCAAACTAGTCCGTGTACGCCATATGAGAACAAAAGCTCAGGTGAAGCAAATCATGAGACAGGTCCTGCTATTTCTAGCAGCTCTTCTGATAGTAGTAGCAGCAATTCTGATGAGGAAAACCGCAGAGAAAAAGAATCTACAGCTTCTAGAAGTTACCCCAACAGTAGTATCTTACATATTACTTCAGAAAACCGACAGTTAGGTGGTGATGACCATCCATTGATACCGCCAAAATCCTCGCCCGAAATGACTGTAAATGGATCTTTAAGTTAGTATTAGCACCAATCTTCTATCTGGTGCCTGCCAAATTTTTATGATCTTTCATGGATGTGCTTGGTGGTGGGAAATACTTTACTCTGTGAGATTACACGAAAAGAGATCAATGCACTCACTGAACGAAAGTGAATCAACAGAATCGGATCATAGTTGGTTTTGGGGATTTCGATTTAAGCCGAAGACGAGGACATCTTACTGTATAGTGCGACTGAGCGGGGAAGATACCTTCTACTCTCTCAAGTTTTACCTCCAGCATTTTTACTTTCTGTAAAACATTTGGCCGTATTAATTTTGCTGGTTAGCATTGTCACCTTCTCCTCTCTGTCTCAACTTACTCTCCCTCCCTCGGGGGATTACAGCCTCGTATAATTAAGTTCGAACCAGACTTTGAAATGTTATAGAAGAGGGCATAAAATTTTGCCCTATATATTCGTCTTTGGTTTAGTTTAGGCGACAGTGTTCTGAAAGGTAGAGATGAATATACATAGTGTCGATCAGAGTCGAAATTTTAAAGATTTTTTAGTCCAAATTTTAAAGTTGTAGAGATGAATCTCATTTATCACAAGTGTAAATTAAATTTTAGTGAGTTCACCTGCTAGTTTTGTTTGTGAAGTTATCATGTTAAAGTTGAGCAAATGTTTGTTGTTGCACTAGCCGCTTCTCTCTTGATCTACTTCTTGATGACTCTTCATTTCTGGTAGAATTTTATTTGTAAACGAACATCTACAAGATCTTCATTATTTCTATCCTTCAAGATTTTAAATTTGTATAGAATTTGGCTCATCTAAGCATTACTCGATGGTTAAGATATGTTTTAAGATTTGGCCAATCTAAGCATTACTCGATGGTTAAGATATGTTTTTAGTTAGGACGCACGGGACAAAAGTTGGATCATATGGTTAAGACATCCTACCCAGAGGGTTTCGAGATAGGTCGAGAGCTTTTAATTAAAAAGAAAAAAGACGAATATGTTCATAATACGTTATATATGAGAAAAAAATGGTCAATTTGAAGAGTTCGTTGTTAATGACTAGCGACATACATTAATGTTTTGTTGTTCACTATTATAGAAATGTGATTTTTATCTCACCCGTTCGTGGAGAGAAGGATAAAAAAAATTAAATTAAATAAATGTAATTTATGGAAGAAAAATAAAAAGAAGTGAATAAAAGCATTATTCTATTATAGAGATAAACATCAATACCAATTAATATATTACAAATCTAATATGATTTTAAAATAAATTTTGGATAAATTATTTCGCTTCCATTATTCTATTGGGCCACCAAAGTCTTTCATTTTTCGTTTTCCAATTCGAAGCCCATTTACAAGTCTTCTTCTCCCGCCATTGGGAAAAATGAAACTTCGCCCTTTCGCCTGATCGACGTTTGAAGAACCGCAGCTGATTTAGATTACAGTGTTAGATTATCGCGCAGATTCCTTCTGATTTTCAGCTGAACGGCTGCTAAAACCCTAGGGTTTTGTGTTTGAAATCTTCTGCAAGATGAGTACCATGAAAGTTTTGCCGGGAATGGTTATGTTTGGCTTTGATTCTTCTGTGTTGATTAGTTTAAGTCATTGGAAAATGTTGTAATTATGGAAATTGTTGTGTTGCAGTAACGACATTCTTTATCCGAAGGAGGACAGAGATGGGAAAACTCTTCTCTATGCGTGCGCAACTGTGATCACCAGGCACCTTTTCTTTCTTTTGTTTTCATATTTCTATTCTAATGCTATGAACATTTTAGGTTTATTAGTTTGGATTTCATGTCTGATGTATAATAGTTACACTTACAACTTACGAAACCCTACGTTATGGTTTTCTTTCTGTAGTTGAAATCCAATATCAATTTGTTTCTGAATGTGAAATGTCTTGCTTTATAGTAATTTTGACCTAGGTTAAGGATGTTTGAACCTGATTCATGATTATGCCCTCGAATGCTAGAAGTTGCCCCTTTAGTTCGTCTCCTTGTCAAAGATTTCCTTATAGCGTCATATTGTCTCTGTTTTTAGCTTAATCTTCCCCGAACTTTGTGTTAGGACTACACAGGATAGAGAAGAGGCATTGACTAGAGGTTATGTGAGGTTACTATATATGACTATTTATGAACCCTTTCCAAATTCCAAATTATGCTGCCATAAGATGTTGTGCTGTCCAACTGACGAATGGACGAATAGAGATCAGTTTCTTGAGACCTAAGTATATATCTAATTTTGACGGGAGTTTGTACATAGATTTCTCCTTTTCCTTCGATTTCCAAGGGCTTTGTTGTCGGTGAGATACACCTTCATGAAATTTTCAGATTTAGAAATTTAAAACCGTTCCTTATTTGAAGACAAATGAAAAGATGCATCCGAGTCCAAAATTCAAGATTCAGTCGGGCTATCCACAGTAAGGGTTAGAGCATCTTCAATATTTTCTGCTAAATATACACCATCATTATCATTTCTAGATTTGTGATGTTGCTTCTTCTCTAGTTTTGTACAATCGGTTCGAAACTGCTCATTTTTTCAAAAATCCCAACACGTGATGTTTGGTCTATTTGAAGAATTTTTTTGGTTTGATTTTGATTTAGAAAACGTTATATTTCTAGATTTGGTCTTCTCTAGTTTTGTACAATCGGTTCGAAACTTCCGTGTTTGTTTGGGCCCTTCGAGTTACTTCTTCCCATTATAACTAACACTAAGAGAATTGTTCAATGAATCCTCAATCTCTCGTTTGCGATTACTTTCATTGAGAACTAAATCTTGGATTTCATCAAACTTCGATTTCTCAGATCCTTGGGGACTGATGATTGCAGTAACAACAATATCCCAAGACTCGGACAAAGATGATATCAAAATCAATGTTTTAATTTCATTTTTAAAATTAATTTCCATCGAATTCAGTTGACTTGCAATCATATCGAATTCATTTATATGATCCACAAAAGATCCACCGCATCAAATACGCCTTTTTCATAGCCGATGATTTTTCGTACATATTTGACAATGTCTTCAATAGATCCAACGTTGTATTCTCCTTGATAATGTTGAAAATTACGTTTCTGGAAAGTATCCATAGAATCAACCCTAGAGTTTTTCAACCCTTGAGCTTCCACTGCTCCATGGTCATGGTATCCGACTTCACCTCAGACAAGAATTCGTGAAGATCTTGCTGTTACATACTATCTTCAATATGCATCTTCTATAAATCGAAATAGGATCTATCATACTTCTCCATTCCAATATTTTAGCTTTCCATCTTCACAGATCAGGGTGAATATCTCTTAGCATTGATACCAATTATTGGGACCGCACATGAACCTACACACTCAATCTAGATAAAGAACACGAAGAACAGAACAAGGAGAAATATAGGCAAGAGGTTATATTGATAATGAAGAATACATAAATTATTAGGATAATTTCTTCAAACCATCACTTACAAGAATTTATATAGTTAAGTTTATTATGCATAGCTTACTATATATATAATCATTCATTCACTGTATATAACCCTCTACTATGCATAGCCATTTATTTAATATGCATAGCCATTTACTAGACATTTACTCTATATAGCCATTTAGTAAACTACAAGTAAATCAGGGTCCAAAAATGTAAACCCTTTGTTCTTGGCTACTTTTGTTGTTCATTTTCATATAAATAAATTTCAGGAAGGGAAGATTTAAGAAGGTTGTAGTTTACTAGTTATCATCTGTTAATGAAAGCTAATAGACCCAACAGAGAATATATTGGTAGATAAATGCTTGAAACAGGCACATGTTTCATTTAATCTAACACAGGGAATTTAACCTTTCGCGGGATAGCTAATTCAGCCTTTATAAATTATTAGGACAATATAGATTACTTATTTAATTCTGAAGGTTAAAAGTTTGATCTATTTTTCATTGTTATTAGAGTATTATCATTGAATTGTCCAAGTTAATCTTCACGAGGTGCCTTTGATTCCCCTGTTCTTCTTTACCAACTGAATTACATTTCTTCTGTACTTCTACTCGGTGTATGTTTTCTAAATGGACCATTGTCGAATCTTCCTTTCTGTTTATGTATGACCAAATGTATTTTATGTTTACCTACTGGAAGATAGATCCGGTTTTGTATTCTGAGATTGATATCCTCCCCTCTTTCCTCCTGATTTTATTTACGGATCCTCTCCTGTGAGATCCTACATCGGGTTGGGGAGGAGAACTAAAAACCTTTTATAAGGGTGGAAACCTCTCCCTAGTAGATATGTTTTAAAACTTTGAGGGGAAGCCTGAAAGGAAAAGCCCAAATTGCAGACGCGTTTTAAAACATTGAGAGGAAGCTCAAAAGTGATAGCTCAAAGAGGATAATATTTGCTAACCATGGACTTGAGCTATTACAAATGGTATCAGAGCCAGACAGTGGGCAATGTGTCAACGAGTAGGCTCAGCCAGACACCTTATAATAACTGTTATTTTCTTTCTTAAAAAAAATCTGTTTACAGGAAGTTGCTGATAATAACTGTGTATAGGAATGAGATCCATCATGCTGTAGGGGAACGCACTCAAGTTCTGCAAGATGATGCTGCAGATCCAACTCTCCCTCGCACTAAAGCTGTCCGATGTGCTCAATGTAACCATGGAGAAGCCGTTTTCTTCCAGGTTATTATTATTATTTTGGATCGACTTCCCTTTTTGCTTCCAAGCTTTGTTTTGCAAGGCTTGAGCTTTCTTTCTCTCTTCTCTCCATTACCAGCGTTGAGAGATTCTTTTCAACTCCTATAATTTGTTAGCTGGTTCCGTTATACATTCTCCATCATCTTCATCATCTTAATACGGCTGCAAATTGACAAGGTTTTCTTGAATTTAATCCTACTAACCATCATCTGATTGCGTTCACTGTCTGCAGGCCACTGCCAGAGGGGAGGAAGGTATGACATTGTTCTTCGTTTGCTGCAATCCAAATTGTGGCCACAGATAGGAGAGATTAACATTACCGAAATGCAATCCAAGTTTTATTAGCATGTCTGTGTGTCACCAAGTGTTTTAACCATCTTATGCTTAAAGACGTAATTTTTTGCATGGGGTTACAATTCTACTGATTGTGTATGTGGGTTGATAAGGACCTACACAAAGATGGACCTGGGACAATTCTAATTTACTAATATCGTGAAAATAAGGTCGAAATGTTAGAAAAATGATCTCAAGATTCACTATATTTTGTTCCATATACTTTCAAATATCTAAATTTAATATTTGTACTTTCAATCAATCTAAAAATAAAATTTGTCCATGTGAAATATTGAACGCTATTTTTAAGACTAAAAATCTCGACCAACGAGATTTAAATGGGAATGGGAATGGTCAAATATTGATTTATCATTTGTTATTGCCGTGGATGTCAAATATACCTGTTGTATACACAAATTAGTCCGGGTGGAAAATGGCACCCTCCTCCCTCTATAATTTCCTAGACCTCAATCTTCCATAGAGAGATTCCCTAAGAACATAAATGAAAGGCGTTGTTTAATGAAATGGGGAAAAAGAATTATCTACATACAGGACAAATAACCCAAGTGGGCTTCTTTTCTTCTTCAACCTAACATTGCCCAACAATTTCTACCAAAATTCTTAGAATGCTAAGAGGTATTTTACAAGAATCTATAAAGTCGATATGTTGCGATTAAACCAGTCTGACAAGCGTCTAATTTTCTTCGACATGTCTTCGTTCTTAGCCACGAATGACTCGTAATTCGATAGCATTACCATGAAGTCATGCTTCAAAGCTTCCAAGTTTCGGTAGTAATCGTTCTGTAATCTTTCCTGGATTATCTCAAGGCACAATGGTACAGGAAACCTATAAATGTACAAGAGGCAAAAATTACACTCATATCTTGAATCCCCATGAAGTTTATGGCAAAATGGATTATTTATTAACCTACCTGTTCTTGAATTGTGTCTTCCGTGAGAGAAGCATCAGATCTTGAATCCCATAACGGCCCTGAGATTTTAAGGACAAAATCAGAACAAGATCATCATATGTATATAATCACAAAACATAATAAACCTTGAACAACCAGGCTACCTGCATAGGGGCCGACATTAATTGGTCGAAGGCAGTCGACAACTTTGCTTTATTTTCGTCATCTATTCGAGGCTGTTCCCACTGAGTAACAATATCATAAAGCTCCCAAGGACTATGTAAATGTGGTTCTGCAGGATCACTCCTATACTTAATTGTGTACCTTTCCCAAGGACTTTCTGGAAACTCTGAAGATTTTGGCTGCACAGAGACAATCCGACCATCCCACCAACTACCATCTACTCCAACATCATTTTTCCACCACACTTTGCACTTGTCCCTGAATGTCCAATTCCTCTGCATTGCTGCTTCAAACCGAGTTCTTTCGACTAAGAAGTCAGGGAAACTAGTCAACTCGGGCAGAGTTAACTTGAAAGATTGGAAGTATACAGAGGAAGCAGGATCTATGAACTTGAGTAGCATTTTACAGCAACTATCTCCGGAACCTGCAGAAGTTGAATAAACAAGCTCCACAACCTTACAGAACTCAACAGCTCGTATGGTTCCTCGGGTTGCGGTCCAAGGTCCCATGTCTTTTGTGTGACAGTAATTTGCACAGCAGTGATCTATGTATTCCTGATGACCCTGTCATTCACATTTCATTAATAATCAATGAAAACCATAATTAGCACTAAATATTAAAATGAGTTTAAGAATCAGGCTGCAGGAAACCATCCATGATGTACTTACCTGTCTCAGATATGCAACTTCATCTCCAAGTTGAGGAATATATCTGGAGCCACCCTCATGTGCAGGCATCATTAACCATGATCCTTTTCTGGCATATTGAACCGACTTTCTTCTATCTACAGGATTTAGGTCTTGAGTAAGACTACCCCTTCTGTTTCGAGTGGATCTGGATCCAACAGTCATCCTTGAGCTTGATCCCCACTCTTCACTTGGTATATGGGATCTGTTTGCAGGAGAATTTCCAGAACGTCTTGATTTTTGTTCAAGTTCTTGATCTTCGTCTGATTTTAGATCATCACACACATTATTTGGATCATATGAGTCCTTGAACCTTAAAGATCGTGTCTTACGAAGCATACTTTTGTGATTGTTTGCTTCAGCAGACAGACTAATGTTGCCCAATGCATGTTCCCCTGAGTCACAACCGTTGCTTTCTATATTGCTCTTTCCTTTGTTCGACTTGGATCTTCTATAAACAGCAGTGTACATTTTGTTTGTCTCAACTGCTTGCAACTCTGATGAGCTGCATAAGGTTGATATTGGTTTTTCATCCATCGCAGTGTCCATATCTTGTGGGCAATCATTTCTAAGATCAGAAAAAGCTTCATTCATGACAGTATCCTGCAGCCCATTCAGACGCCGTGGGCTTCCAGATACTGTATAGTATTCATCATTCTTTGAATTTTCGTCTAAGGATTCTATTTTGTGCTTCAAAGAATGTTCAGGATCCAAAGAACTACTCTTCAACCTTATCTTTGTACACATTGGTGCAATATTTTCAGTTTGCTCAGGAGCAGGAGTCCCATATTGTATTGATGTGGTTGCATCTGAAGAAAACATGAAATTCAAATTATTTGAATCATCATGATCATCACATGATTTGCTGTTGCTAACACATTTGAGCTCACCACCATTGACCATCTCAGGAGAGTGCCCAGAAGCATTATCATCGTCATCTTTCAAATTCGTCAGGGATACAGCATGTGTTTCATCTGCATGATAATTCTGTATCTTTGAATGGGGGGATGGTGCACCAAAATGATTTTCTCGTTCTAAATATTCATGAACAGTATTCTCATTTTCATTATGATCACCATTGCGAAATGGACTAGATAATGCATATGCATCTAATCTTATGCGCTTGGACGAACGAACCTTGGACCCTCCCCATCTTATGTTCCCATTTGTGTAGACCTCAGTCAGATCAGAATGTCCATCAGTATTTCCAAATTGTCTCTCGGATCTCATAAGATTCTGACTGGTTTCAATAACTTCCTTTGGTGATCTTGATGATGAGCTAGCCACATCAGCCATGTTGGTGCAAGTAAGTGTTGTGTTTGAAGGAGGATCAACCTTATTTGGATTCTTAAGGGAGAATTTAAGGATCAACTTCTTTCTGTTTCCAGAATCTACACGAGATTCAGGAACGTCGAGAGGTTTTGTAATCAACTCAGCTTCATCAAGGAATACTTCTTTCCCTTTTGAATGTTTATTTCTGTTTTGCAATGACCTTTCATATTCATCACTCTCAATGTCTGAATCTTCTAATGTAGATTCACTTTCTGAGCAATCACCTCCCGACTCATATTCATCTTCTCCATCTGTACATTTTCCCTTAAACGATGATATCCAGTTGCGGGCATTACGTGCAGCCGCTCTTTGAGGTCTTAATGACTTAGATGCTGATTTCTTTTTGGATGCTCTATGACCAGATTTTGACTTCCGATTTCTGGAATTCCTAACAGTATCACCTTCATACTCATCCATATTTCTTCTTTTAACACGCCTTCCTGAAGAAGTCATGACCTCCATCTGAAATATACGAGGAAAGAAAGAGTTCTATTTCAGAGGAAAAATATTTAAAAATGGAAATGGAACTTAATTGATGGAAATTAATATATTTAACGCGAAGAGAGGGATTCAGGGGAAGAAGATAACAATACTCACGTATGCTTTCTGTTTTTTCCTTTTTGACCTTCGAAGACCATCGTCAATCCCTGTGTCATCAGAGCTACATTCTGAATCCGTTGAGCAGTTCGAATTTAGGCTTCTTTGCTCCCCACCAGTAGAGTAATCCTCAGTGACGTTGTATTCCGAATCAGTATCATCGCTTTGTACTTCATTTTCTGGTCCCCAATCCATTGCATCCACAATCTCAGGCAATGGTTCAATCAACATGTCCAAGTCTGCCAAAGGCAGCAATTGGTAATCTGGGTCGAGATTGAAGTCAGGCCCAGTAGAAAGTTTTAGCGAAGAGGGACGCCACTCAAGACCCATAGCACCTAAACGTCTTTGCTGATATGCAGTCTGATAAGGTTCCGGATAAGGTATCATGCCTATCATTTTTCATCACACAAGCAGCAAACACAAAATGAATTAATAACAAGCTGAAACCATATACCAACATCAGTTGGAGTAGAGGGAAACCTGAGTCAGAAAGGAGATCTTGCAAATTCCGTCTGTAAGTACTGAGTTGGGTTTCCTGAATCCAATATTGGCTCAATCATAAGAAATAAAATAAAAGTAAAAAACAACAGAAAAGAAAAGAAACTATAATTTGATGAACCAGGTTATCACAGACCAACAGATATCACTTCATTGCATGTTTAATAACAACATATCATACATAGTTTTCTTACTTGGTCAACTACATTGCCGAAAGGATCCTGAATAAGTGGGCGATAGTCACCAAGAAAGAACTGCAGTAAGGGCAAGACAATCGGTATTAGAAACATTAGCAAAACATATGATCATGAAGGAAGCAAAGCAGAGATCGGCAAAATATTAATGAACTCAAGTACCTGATCATACTTGGCATCCTGTTGGGATTCTCCCTGACCGGTGCTTAATATATATAGCTGCCCAACATCATCTGAAAGTATAATTGATGTCCCGTCTCTACAAAACAGAGACAAAACTAAGACACTATAGTATAAGCATGCATGAGGGGTACATGGTAAAAAAGTAATCCCTCGCATTGAAATCATCTCAATATGAAGAACAGAACTAATCCATTTATACACAATCAGCTCAATAACATAATGATCATTATGATGAACCAATTACACGACAATTATAGCCATAGGAAAATATTGAATTTCTACAGCCCAATACTTGACTAAGATCGCCGAGCCTTTTAAATGTCATCATCCTGCACCACTCAATCATAACTTCTAGATTCATTACATCCACCAAAGCATCTTGAAATTTCCAACCTTCAATATCAAGAAATAAACACTTCATACAGCTGATTGCAAAGCAAAGACCATGGAATCATCCAAG